GCTAGTATGAATAGCACAAAACTCTTGCTATATCTTCCCATAACTAATGCAAATACAACTGTAATCTTCAAACTCAAATTATAACCACAATGATACAAACACACATCTCATGAGACCAAGAATACATGGATCTATTTGCAAGACAAACACAAAAGTAGGTTGAACTTCCACCTTCTGTTAGTATCATAGGTTAGCTTACACAAACTTCTCCTGTGACTAGAAGCTTTGGGTGTTCTGATTAATGGCCAAGTCCTACATGAACAGGAAATGAAACACAGCTTCTCCTGTACTTTTACAGAGCCCAGACCAGACATTCTGGATGTCTGGCAGCCTAGGATGGACTGGTCCAACACCTCCAATTCACTGCACATATGTAAAGCTATTCATGATCAATTTACCCATCTGAGACTGTCCAGTATACAACCCCAGTTAAAATTTCAACTTGGAATAAAGACTACAATACCCTGCCTTGAACCTACATACAGCACATGCCTGTGCTGCAGGGTAGGTCCTGTGAATTCAATAAGGTTTGATATAGAAGGTAATCTTTGAATAACAAGGTCGCACAAGATGGAAAGAACTGACCCTCTACGCTTTTACAATTTGACATAGATAAAGATATGCCTTTCAAGGTATGTACCTCAGAAAAGTAACCGATACTTCCGTCAGAGAAGATTTTAAACAGCTCTAAGGCACAATTTGGTGCTGAAGAACCTGTTGTTGATTTGTTTTCTCCACAGCTTGTACATATCATACTCAATGCCAGTCCTGGTCTGATCCTTTTATTTATTTTTATATATATATATATATATTTATATATATATATATATTCATTAATGTTTTCTGTGAGGTTACATTGACATATACAGAATTAAAAGAAAAATAATCAAAATTTTAAACGTACACATTTTCAACACGCAAGGCTCTGGTGATTTCCTTAGAAAACAGTAAGGAAAGCAGAAGTATCTCTGCAAATTTCCTATTCTTCTCTCCTAGTCACTCCTCAGGAAAGAATTCATCTTCTGCCTTGCTTGTCTTAATAGTAACTAATTATTTGTAATTCTTGTTAATGAACATTTGATTTGTTATTACTTGGCCCAGAACTGCTCTCTTTCTGCTATGCTTTAAACAGAATACTTTAAAAAAGATTGCTTTCATCTTATTCCTGTCAATTTCTATTGTAATTTTCTCATTTTTGTCCTCCTTCCCTCAAGCTATTCATATTCTTCCCTGGTTTCAATTCGTCACTAATCAAAAGTCCCTGGACACACAAACTGTTCATAATTAGAAAACAGCCTCTTATGCAAATTAATATCTATTGTATTGGGTACCTCTTCTGGGATAAGAGTACTATTTCATGGGTGGTACAGGCAAGAACTGCAAAGCACAGCTAAATGCTTCTGGCATTTCAGTCAAACAAGAAAGCACGCTCCTCTACTTTCTAGATGAAACCACAGGCTTGCATTCAGTTCTATACACATTTCATAAAGCATTACCACAGACAGCAGCCTCACCGTTTTTTTCAATAGCAATGGTTATCAACAGTACTTCTGAAATAACGCACTCTTCCACGAGGACATGGGAGAAGGGAAAGCCTTTACTTCTGGATGCAACTACTTGGTATTAATCCTCCCCTCCCAACTCCTTCCTGAGCAACCTAGCATTAAAACAGTTTGGCAAATCCTGATTTTCCAGGAAGACAGTAAATTTATAGAAAAACAGCTTATGTAAAATTTGTCTCAGAAGAAAAATTCAACACCTTTTTCAGACAACTTCAATTTCTCCAGCCTATTTTTTACAAGAGAAATAACTAGGACCTGTCTGTTTACTCATCCTTTTGCTTCACTGGAGTTATATGGATATAAAACCAACATGTATCACTAATGGACAAATCAAGTTTCCTGTATTTTTTGAATGGGAGGAAAGGGGAATTGGAGACAGAAGGCTTGAATTCAAAAGAAAACATCCATTTTACAGCATGACAGCTACAGAGCTAGATATAAGACAACACCAAAATGACATGGCATGCACACAGCTACATCATTTTCGTGTTGCTTCCATGCTCTAAGCTGGCAGACTTCAACCACCTCCTTTTCCAAGACCATGCAGTGCAGAGACAAATTTGGACTAAAGTTTTCTTTGGGGTAGAGTTTCTAGCACTAGGATATGCAGAGCCAGATGTACAACCACATCAGCATGCAGCACTAAAGCTGCCCTGTGTCCACTGCTCCGATCACTGGCACAGCTAGTGCTACTGAACCCAACAGATATATAAGATATCAACAGTGGTCTTCTGGTCACTTGTCACACAATAAAAAACATGTATTATGTAGGAATCATACAGAATGTAAATGCTCGGACCCATCCCGAGTTCCTAAAGATTTAATTTTTGCTCAATAGGTGAGTTTGGGCTTTCTAGTGAGCTGTTTCACAAAAATGTGTTTTAACTGATTTCCTTAAACATATTTACATAACCTCAGATTTCAGCCTACAAGCTAATTAGGTGAACCACTATCAGGTTTATGTTTTAAGATTTTGTAAAACACATCAGAAAGTATCACAAGGTGTCAGCAAACATGCATAAGTGATTTCATATTCCTTCTTACACCTGATTTCACAAAGTATTTCATCAGAAGAAACTTTTTCTCAGAACAAAGTCTCTTGACAGGTTACTGTAAAATTGCATCTCCCCCCCCCCCCC